CCCCCCGGCCAAGACTCATTCAGGTAAAGCGTCTCATCTTTTTCACGAGGGAGGAGCGCAGCCCGCGGGCCACTGGGATGAGAAATGCTCTGGTCGCAGGACGAGGGGGAGGGGGCCGCGCGCGTGTCCTTGCCGCCGGCTGGACTAACTGGACATGCAGGCCAGCGCCAGCGCCGGGACCCGTGCTTACTGGAGCTCCTTTGAGCTCCCGGTGAGCATTGCCGCCGGCCCGACCCGGGGCGGAACCTATTCCCCGCTGCACCTCGGCTTGTCCAACAACGAGCCCGTGACCGAGTCTACAGACCCGAGAACTGGTGGGAGTAGGGATTGTCTAGAAAGTAACGTCTGTTTTTATTCACAGATTCATTTGTCAGTTGTTTCAGTTTTCAAATGGTTTTATTGGCGTCAAATTAGGTTACATTTGAAATTTTGTCAGGTTTGCATGCTGTTGGCCGAAAGGCCTTTACTGTATTTACTAATTAAGGGATGAAGAGGTATTTGGAGTGATTTTGATGTTGTTATTGTTAGTGCTTTGAGCTAAGTGGTGGGTCCCTCAGCTTACAAAGACCGGGGGGGGGGGGGGGGGGGACTGTTCAGGCCCCAAGGGTGACAAGGGCGACAAAATCCATTCGGCAAGAGAAGGGAAGCTCGGCGCCTGCAAGACTCGGGGTAGGCTAGCCCGCAGTACACGCGGGCACTGCACACGAGATGTTGCCTACCTCCAAGGCGCTCGAAAGTGGCTCGATACAACTTCAGCGTTTCGTAACAGCGCCTGACGGCGTACTTTCTGCCTGATCTCATGTTTGAACGACCGGACTGTGGTGTGCGCCGAGCATGTTCAGTCACTGCTCGGAGGCATCACATCCGAGTTTCAGTCTTCCGGTAGCGCGGAGCAGAGCGCGTCTGGGGTCTCGGGGACTAGTCCGTCCTGGCCTGGCGCACGCTAGAAACCGAAGTGTGGGAATGTGGCGCACCTGCAGGTGTATTCCACCCACAGGTGGGTGAGTTCCACCCGCATCGGCACGGGTACGAATGAAGATTCACACAGCCAAGTGTGTGGCATTCACACACTTGCGGGTCTCCATAGTGCACATGTCGGGGCTCCCAGCTCTTCAAACACAAGTTCCCCGCGCGGATATGAGGGGAAGAAACCAAGTCACTGATTCGGGTGGCCGCTGCTGCTGCTGCGCGCGCGCTCCCAAAATAGCCTCTGGGCAGCAATGCCGTCTCTCATCCTTGGCGGGGGCGCTGCGACCGCGCGGGAGCATACCGCCAGCACCCATGCCTTGGGATTGGGGGAAGGGGGGACTCACCCCACTGTCACCCCTTACGCCCACCCCAAGGGGAGAACCCCCCCCCCCCTCCTTTACACAAATAGCAGCACCCGAGACGCGGGGGAACTTACCTGCCCTGCATCACCCGAGCACCCCCAACGCGCAGACCCCCTAAAGCACCTGGCTTTACCCCTCTCCCTCCCTTGCCCGCACACGCACGCACACACACACACACACACACACACACACACACTCGCACACACACACTCACACACACACACTCACACACACACACACGAACGCTGCGCCTGCCTGTAGTCATTAGGAAATTGTTATAAATGATAAAAGTTTGAGCCATTAATGGGTGTTCGTCGTGGCGCTACGTGGCGGGGTAGGGGGACACCCCGAAAGGTGAGTGGTGAGTATGTCCCCTGACATGATCAGATTTCCGGATTTAGTTTTCATTTTTTACTGGTAGTACGTGCTAGCTGCAGTGTGTGACTCTGTAAACGCAAGTGTAAAAGACTGTCCAACAAGAACACGGTGTCCTTTACTAAAGAAAAAAAAAGACGATCTTGCATGGATCCAAGCAATCTTAATATTTTCAGATAGCCAGCTTAATTTCATCTTGTTCTCACAGACAAACAAACAAACAAACAAACAAACAAACAAACAAACAGAATGAAATTATTTTGGTTGAATTAGAGACTTGTGTTGTATTTTTGGGAACTGGAGCGTTTAGGCAGTTTAGGTCGTGAGTAGGAGGTGGGTGTGGTGTGGGGAGGGTCAGCGCAGTGCTGCCAAGGGCAGGAGCGGGTATGGCAGGCTGTAATCATGCGCCCAGCGGGAGTACCTACTATGATACTCTCTCTCTCTCTCTCTCTCTCTCTCTCTCTCTCTCTCTCTCTCTCTC